AGCAAATTCACAAAGTTATCAGAAAAATGACAATACTTTTTGAAGTTAATGAACTGATATTTCAATGAACAGCCATGAGACAGGTAACTTCATTTGAATGATTAACATTTGTCATAATCAGGGTGGATCAAAAGGGGTTAAAGTCACTGGCTCGTAGACTATGTGGCCACCAATGAAAGGTATACAAGGTATACCTCTTAATGCATGCTTTGTACAATGGTGCAGGAGCTGTCTTTTATAGAGCCTGATCTCTCAGCCTGCTACATGTCATTCCAGCTCTTTACACAAATATTCCATGAGGCTCAGGTCTGTTGAATACATATCTGTCCCATTCTCATCTTGCAAACTATTACACAAGCAGCATGAGGACATACATTATCCTGTAGGAATCGTGCCATGTCAGGGGGAGTGTGTGAAGGAAATGAGGTTCCAGGACTTCTTCAATGCAGTGCCATGCAGTCATTTTGCCATTAATCACTGGAGAAGTGGAATTCTGTACTGACCAGACACTCCTGCCCAGACCATCACACATGGGCCATCCCATTAACTGGTCTGTAGGGCCAGTACACAACAATATTACCACACTTTCTGAAATCCATCAGGTTTGTGTACACAAAACCTTGAACATGTCACTGACACGCATCAGCTGATTGGCTGGCTGTGGCAGACTCTGGAGGAATTCACCAATGAGGAGAGGGTCCTGTTCCTAGGCTTTGTATCAGGGCGTTCAGGACTGCCTTCAAACACATCTAATATCAGAGTATACCTTGGAGGTGTGCTCCAACAAGTGTTGGGATGAAGATGTTTTTTTCCTTATTAAGGAAGGCATTCTAATTCTTTGATGTGTTTTTCTTCCTTGATTTTCATCAGCCGTGATATTACACAAGTGAAAACATCTAATTGTTTTTGAAGTGTTACAATGTTTATACAATGTCCAAAGTCACTTGAGTTTATCATGAACCATAATCAAAAACATGACATAATATTTATTCAATATCTACAATATATAATATTCTTCTAATAAGAATGAGAAAGATTAATTTCTAATTATTTTTCGAAAATAATTAATAGTTAACTTCTAACAATTAATTTTAACTTCAAAGTATTTTATTCAATGTATTTTATCTACTACACCAGGAAACCCTGCAACACAATTAATGTTATTAAATCAGTATTCATACTGTATAATACTCTGACAAAATTTAAAGACCACAACATTCACCAGAAATAAGCAACTTGCTGAGAATGGATGGATAAATTG